ATTGTATGTGTTGTACATGAATCAATTAAACAAATATTTTTACAATTGAACTTTGATCCAAGTTTGTTTTGTGAGATATCCATATTCCTTCCCATTGTTTGACATACAAAAGAAATATATGAATAAATATTAGTATTTTCAGAGTGTATACTTATAATACTAACGAATGATTAAAAATAAATAAATCATATTGCGATTAGATGTCTCTATATACAGTAGCTTGTATCAATATAAAAAAATGGTTGCCGCTCTCTGTTCCGCGATTGATTTTCCTCCGTTATCAAAACAAGTAAATAACTAACAACCTTTTGTTTATGAAACAGAAAAACAGAAACATAAAGAATACTACTTCTCCTAGTACTACTACGTATCTGCTTTCCCCAATCGACAACCTTTTGATGGAAGGTACATAAAGGGGCAATGATGATGATGTTTATATGTTTAGGCTAAAAAAAGTTATATAAATTTTTCTACCACTTATAAATTAGTTTGGTGGTAAATCAGTGGCAGATAGCTATTATATCACGTTTATATACTACTATGGTCAATTTAAAGACATGCATTTGTACCTTTTCTGTTCAATACTAGTAATTAAGTATTCTTTTCACATCACAACATTATTTTAATAAAGAATATATTATCCTTGAATATTAAGCAAACTGAAACATTGTTTAAAATAAATACTAGAATTATATTTAATCAAATGAACTAACACTAATTCATAAAGTAATACTAATTGATACTAATGAGTACTACTCATGTAAAGAACTATGATTACATGATGTTTATTAGTTACTACGAATATATAAAAATAAAAATCAAACTACTCAATCATCTTTAACCACAGATCCATCACCGATCAAGTGGTCTATTTTCCCATTAGGGTGCTCAAAGAAGTCTGCCACATCCAAGTGGGTGATGTCAAAATCATTGTCAGAGACAAAATTAGCTTCGGGGCCTTTATTCTTTAGAGATGCTTGATAAAGCTCAACCAAATGTCTTGGTACACGACAAATATTTGCCCAATGCCCTTTTCCACTGCAACGATAACATTTAGTTTCTGTATCATTTGCCTTTGGCTTCTCATCTTTCCCTTTCCATTTTTTGTGGTTATTTTTCTTTGGAGGGTGATTAACACCAGGAAAATTTCTTCCTTTTCCACGGCCACGACCACGACCACGACCACGAATAGAGCCACGGCCTTTTCCACGCTTAGCATAATGGGAATACACCTCATCCACTTCAGGCAATGGTGTAGACCCAGTGGGTCAATTTTTCGCGATTTCTCATGAGCAAGTCATTGTTTCGCTCAGCCACAAGGAGGAGAAATCAGCTCAGAGTACTTCTTGAAGTCTTTCTCTCTGTACTGCTGTTGCAGGACCATATTGGAGGCATGAAACGTTGTAAACGTTTTTTCAAGCATATCATAGTCAGTGATAGTAACTCCACAGAGTTTCAATTTAGAAGTAATTCTAAACATCGCAGAATTATATTTAGAAACAGACTTAAAGTCTTGGAGCCTCAGATGAGCCCAATCATATCGTGCCTGTGGAAGAATGACCAACTTTAAGTTATCATATCTTTCCTTTAAGCCATTCCACAAAACAAGTGGATCTTTGACTGTGAGATATTCTATTTTTAACCCTTCATCAAGGTGATGGCGCAAGAAAATCAAGGCCTTAGCACAGTCTTGGGTGGATGCTTTAGTTTTGTCTTTAATGACATTTCAAGACCCATTGCATCTAAATGGATTTCAGCATCCAACACCCATGTCATATAGTTCTTGCCCGAAATTTCAAGGGCAACGAACTTTCTTTTCGTAATATCAGTCATAATTAAAAGAGGAGAAAAATTGTACCTTAATCTTCTTGAGACGGTAGAGTCTCGTGCTGATAACGTGTGATAAAAAAATAAAAGTAGAAGAACAATATTGCAGAGAAAGAGAGAGAGGAAATTCTTATTGAATTTTGGGATGATTTACAATGGGGTAAGACCCCTCTATTTATAGGGGGAAAATGACTTAGCCACAAAGTAAAACTCTCTACAAGATAGACATTCACTCTAAATAGAATTCTATTCATAACAAATTGATAGTAACAGAATTAATTGTTTAATCTCAATATGTAGCTACTATAGTGAATCGGCTCATTGGGGTGAAATTCAAAAATAGCCAATATTTATAAGTGGTAATTCAAAAATAGTCATAGTCTCAAAAGTAATCGAAATTTTGTCACTTTTCAAATAAAGATAAATATGAACGAAAACATTGTTCAAAATCCGAAAAATATTCCAGCATAATATATTAGAGTTCCAGTATACTGGACTTCCAGCATAATATACTGGTCTGGCATAATTTGCTGGAAGTTCATACACATGTGCTCCAATCTCCAGTATATTATGCTGGAACTTTCCGTGTTGCAGCAAAATAGTCTATTTTTCAATGAATAAAGGCTGACTATTTTTCAATTATCAATCCGAGAACTGGCTAGGTCGTGGTATTTTCACGCTCCTTGTTAGCGCTTTAATCACATAATAATTAACCAAAAAACGATGCACGTGAGAGTAAAACATTAGTCCAAACTCCAAACTAAGGAGGTGTCATGTAATTTCTAGTGAATGTTGTGATGTATACTTGAATAAAAAACAGTAGAGATAATACTGACAATGGAGAATTAAATTTGATCAATCGACAATCAAGGGAAACTGTAAGAATCTAATTAAATAGCAATTCTAAGCAATGCCTATTGTTCCTAAACCTTATTCATAATAATATTAAAATCGTATCTAAAAAAAATTAACACATTAAAATAACTGAATGTTACCATTGTAGCAGTTATCTTATCAAAACATATAATTGCCTATTAAAATAAACCATATCTTAAAAGTAATTTTTAATATCTAATACTTATCGACTACTTTCATGTGACTCAAAACGTGTGCTCTAATCACGTACTTAATCCAATAGGCAAAACATCGTACAAAGTACATAAGGGTGATGTTATTATTTATGCCTTTTAAAATAGTATTTAGGATATAACTCTACTGACGACTTCAAATGTGAGTATTTGTGAAAAGACCCCGATATGGTTATTGGTCAAACGAACAAGCGTTTGTCAAGCATCCGCAACAACAACAACAAATTCGGTATTTTTCCACAAGTGGGTTATAGGACGCAACTTTACCCCTACCCATGAAAGGGCAGAGAGGCTATTTCCGATGCCTCTCGATTACTTACCAGAATTATTTGTATCAACAATGGTAATTAAAAAAAGTTCACCGCCTCTATTAGGTTAGCCAAATTTATTCTTACTCGATGTTTACTTTAAAATATATTAATTTATCTATCATGGATACATAACAAATTGAGGCGAGGATGCGTATTAATTAATTATGATAATAGTATAAGCAAAAGTTATGTTTGTATAAAACATCGAGTCTAAATAAAAAAAAATCGTATATGCTTTAAGTGAAATGCCTGCAAGTTGGATTCATGCATCACCCATGCCCTAAACCCTTAAACACAAACTTATGCAATTCTACTAAAACAACTTATGAACATTTAGTCGCTACTAACAACTCTCAACTCCCAGCCTATAACACGAAGGACATATATTCAAAATGATTAACATCAGCTAATACAATAAATTAGTAACGGATAAGGATTAGGAGTTGTTGGTTAATTAGCAACTTGCTGATGTTAAAATTTTGCAAAGTCAAAGAGTGTCACGTGAACTCATGAAAACTTTCCAAACTTTGATCTTTAATTGTTACTTCTCTTTATCACTAATTTCAGACAGAGACTAACATGATTTTAAGTGAGTGAAAAAAGGGATATTAGAAGTTAAAGTTGAAAAAGAATATTAATTTGGTAATTGAACTTGTGTTTAAATATAAAAGTTGAAGATGGAGAACCATTTTGTCACTTGAAATGCTCGTCAAACTACAGTCAAACCTCTCTGCAACAGCCTCGCTTGTTCCGAATATTTTTGAATATTATAGCAAAATATTGTTATATAGAACATATATTATAACATAACATGAAAATTAATTCCGGAAAATCTTGGCTTTTATAGTGAAATGTTGTTATATAAGGATGTTGTTATAAAGAGTTCTGACTGCGGTTAGAATATTTCAAATTGAAGTCAGTACATGCAAATACCGACGATCAAATCAATATTTAAAAACTAAAATATACTATGCTCCAACGGTTGACAAAATAGACTAGATCGTGAATATAGTAAGTCGACCTTATAAATAGCTTTATAGCAAACAATTTCATCCAACACTTGACCCTGTCCTGTGCATATTGCAATATAATGTGTCAACCATAAGAAGAAAGGGAAATTACTATATTCAGCATATGGAACTACGAGAATGAGGGGATCACATAATGTAAATGCTCCCAAGTATCACTTACCTATCACCTTCGACCAACACGGTACAGATTAACTCTAACCATCGAAGCTTTTCAGCAGATGGAAAGAAATCACTTAGCGATATTTTCTGTCAGCTAGAATTTGTACTTTATTCTCCATAGTTTTCACCCGCTTTATTGACTTCTAAGCCAAAACAGATGCGGAAATATCTTGGAAAACAGTCGAAATCTAGAACAAGTGTCTGGAATAGCAACACTCTGATAACATGAGCTGGCAAGAGCTATACGATAAAGTAAATAAATCACGAGATAGCAAAAGGAGACTAACGATGCATGTACAACTCGAGATGTGAGATTGACCACAAGATTTCAACGAAATGAACATCAATCGAATATACTTGAATATCATTTTTTTGTTTCGGAACATGTGTTCGGTAAATACAACATAAGACCATCAGGAATATAGAAAGAAATATGTGCTTAGAGACCTAACACTGACAAAACTTTAAATAGTGGAATTGGATATGATATGATACGCCAGTAGCCTATTCTTCTGTGTTTGAACCTCACACTTGTATGCATCTTTCAGAGTATGAACATTTCTGTTTCCAAAATTTAAAGAACTTCATAATAAACCTGCTTCAAAGAGGTTTCTCCTTCTCAGCGTCTCGTCTACCAGTTTGAAAGTCTTCTTAACAAGCTTCTGATCAAGGGCTGTGGTTCTGTATATCTTAAAGACCCGGTCCACACGATCTGGTGCAGTGCATTGGAAATATGACTCCTCAAATTTTTTCTTTACAAACCTAAAGAGTAGATCATTGAAATATAGAACGTTCATTCAGCACATGAATTGAGCAACAGTTTTAAAGGAAAGAGTAAGGGCTCTACCCCGACAATCGACATCCCCAAGACCCAAAATAATGGTAGAGCCAAAAAGCAGAAAATAGACTGAAAATAGCTAAAGAATAGATGAATTAACAACCATGATATAGTGTCTAAGCAGGAAAAATCTTTGAGCAAATGAATGTGTGTGTCTATGCGTGTGCGTGTATTGAGCTTACATATGTCTTGGGACCAAAAAAGTACTTTTATAGAGCCCAACGAATGCATCAGTGGAATCAGTAACATGTACTCATGTATAAAAGTGCTGCACATGAGAAAGCTTACTCATAAGCATGCTCAATCTCTTGTTTTCCTGTTGAAACTGGTTGGTAATCTTTAAACCACTCACAGACGTTCAGAGGCACCTATAACCATGGGATATCATTCTTAGACGAAAAGAATGGTTCCAAAGACAGACACCATCACTAGATAATATGTACTTACTTTCAGAGCCTTCTGCTCAAATATATCAAATTTGTTGAGAAATAGCATGAAGGAAGTTTTCTGCACAAACAATAAAGTGTAAGCTTCATAATTGGTTTCATTTGTTTTTTCGAAAAACCCCAAAAAGGTGATGCAAAAGTTTCTTTTTCTTTTTGGATGAAAAAGGTGATGCAAAAGCATAGAACTAGAAGAGCCATAAGTACACGTTGATACAGATGGATATAAAATTCGAGTTCGCAACCAAGCATCGGTCTTCTAGTAGACAACGAAAAACTGACCTCAAAACATGGTTGCTTTAAGACCCACTCAAAGAGTTCCTTGGTCTCCATCATTCGGTTCTTTCTTTCATCCTCAAATAGAGTTTGATCATACCTGAAGTGAATAATAGAAAACAATAATAAGTGACTGAAAAAAAAAATAGAACAACAAGAAGTATGCAGTTGCCTCATTTCCTTTACTGACAAATTCAAAATCCTTTTGACCTACATTAACTAACTTTAATTTTCTTCTTCAGTCTGGAAAGCAACACGATCCCTGTATTGCTACTTATGATGAAGTAGAAATTGGATTTACTTAAAGCAAATGATCGTAGAAATATCAGAAAGCTAGGAGCAGAAATCTTACTCACTAATAGCGGCACAAAATATGACTGCCGTGACACCTTCAAATAGATGAATCCACTTTCTTCTCTCATTTCTCTGACCTCCAACATCAAAAAGCCTATATACTTCTCCACTTTTTTTGTTCTCTCCAACTGGGCTGCAAATATTTTAGTAGTTATTAGGCCTTTCACCCAAACTAGATAGAATACAAAAGTGTCTTACGTGCAGGACACAAGAACCAGTGCATTACAAGTATAAAATGTTTAATAATCAACAAATTTAAGGACATATAAATGCTCCTAATGATTAGGCACTTAGTCAATAGATGAGGGACAAAGAGACTAGACGAAGGTTGGGGAAGAGATATGCATAAGTAGGCAGAACCTAATGAAGATAACCCGCAACTGCATTAAACTACATCAATAGCATTTAAACAGGGTGGCTAAGACTTGACACATAGAAAAGCATATAAACCAACACTCCAGTAAGAGATCAAAATGTATATAAACCACTAAAAGTAAGGTTTTAGTTAATCGATACAAGGGCAGTTCAAGGATGCGTGAAGTTCACCTGAACTGTATTTCAACGACACCAGTTGTTCGAATTCGGGCAAAAAGAACATCCTCCTACAATATAAGAAGAAAAATGATTACTCGACTATGCATATAGGGAAACTGTGTTAAAGACGACTGAAAAAACAAACGGTTTCCATTCTAACAGCTTAATTTTGTAAATGAGGAGTTCTACACAATTCAACACGAATGGAACAAACAGTATTCCTTTGTTAAAGTATCACAGCCATCATCATCAAAGGATTTTGACGTGCTTGGCAGGGAAATGTATCTGGCCTGCACTTAAAGGAGTGTATAAAGGGATAATAAATAGATAACAACATCCCATCTTTTGATAAGGAAGTTTATACAATTCACGAGATACAATCCAACAAGCTCTATATGAAGAAAGAAATTATAGCAATTAAGAGTAACTGAATAGCACAATGAGAACTTAATTGATGGACCACACTTTTCTCTACCAACAATAGACAGGCAACACTTGTACTTCCTACACTTACACTGCCTATAGAAAGAACACCACTAGTGTAATAGAAAATCAGATACAGGCATAAGTGACAAGCAAGGGCAAGTGTACTGTGTAATAGCAAGTATCTTGGGCGCTTGACGTCGTATTTGACTCTAGAAAGTTGCAGTTTGAATTTTGAAATATTTGACCAACACTAGGGGTGTCAAACGGGTGGATTAAAATGAGATCAGAAAGAAAACTGGTTTGGCCCATCCTGCCAAAGCTATGCATGTCAAGATTAGTATTCTTTTCGGTTAACATAGACACCCCTTGTACCAAAATCCTAATGGTAAAATAAATCTAATAATGCATCTGAGCCAAAACTGCTATCAACAACTGTGAATTCAACATCATGTAGAGGATAGTTTTATCATTGGGTAAAGTACAGATGGCTTTGATATCTTCGTAAATTCAATATGAAAAGTAGAACAGATTTTTACTATTGCAAAGAAAGCGAACTCTTAATTGGAAAATACCTCATTGATTAAAGAGTTGGTATACGACCAATGAACAACTTGTTGTTAATCTTCTGTTCTACTGGTAGAACTGTAAAACATACTAACTCAGAGTCTCAAGACTTCCTACATTCTATTTATTTCAATAGCATTCTAGTTCCATATATTTCAATTAAAATAATCGGTATACAGAAACGAAAAGCATACATGATCCAGTCTCTATTTCTTACCTTTGATGGGACATAATTTATATCAGAAAATCTCTGCAAGTTTTCCATGAAATAATGGGCACAATCTGGAACCTGGAGCTCATTACCACGTAAAATAGTTTCCTACAAGAAAGAAAGAAAACTCTATCAGACTAATGAAAAGTTAATCTTTTCTGGGATACTCGATAAAAGATTAAGGGTTCACGTAGTTTGGATTTTCACCATCAGGCTGATTAATCAGAATCTCTGATTGGCCATTGTATGAAAAAATCAAATTCCAAGTGATTTACTTAAATAAAATTAAAGGCTAGAACTGTGGAGAAGCGATCTAGAGAATAAGGATTTTGGGATAAATAAAGTAAGACAGTATTATATGCATTGCCAGTGAAGCCCGCAGAAGAAGAATGAAGGTAAAGTGAATGAATGTGGTGCTTTAATGCAAACTATTCAAATATATGGGTTCAATCTTCTGGGAGAATGGCATTACAGATAAAGATGTAGCACATAGAGTTAGATCAGATGATTGATGTGGAGGTATACTACAAGAAAACTATGTGATAGGAACATATCCAATAAAGTGAAAGGCAAAGACCGGTAATGTGGGAATGAAGGTTAAGGCCCAACGTATCCTCAAGATGAGTGTCTTAGAAATGCGAAAGTTATAACGAATTTGCAATCTTACAAATCCAGACAAAGTTAAAATGATCAACTCAGACAGTAGGTGCAAGTAACATACATTTTTTATGAAGGTGGTTTTTGGGCCATTTTACTTGCACCTCAACTCTTTTACCGATACTTGTTACCGCCCATCAAAATAGGTACTAGGTAACTCTGCCCACTCATGCTTAGGCAGAGAAAGTGCAAGTAACATACATACAGAATAAAATGTGAGAAGGTGAGATTATTAAGTCATCCCTCCATATTCACCAATTTGTAGGTATGACTTTAGTGGTTGAAGTTGCTAAAAAGGCACAAGGTAATTCTAGAATCACACGTAGAGAAGTTATCTAAAAAGATTTTCCTTTATAACGGTGGTGTCTGGACCAACTTGCGCTCACCTCGACTATACCACCGAGTTCCTAATACCTCCCACCAGCATAGGTATTGAGTAACTCTATCCACCAAGGCTTACGCAAATAGGAAGAGACACCTAATGCTTTTTATCTCTGGCGGAATTTGATCCCAGTTTTGCACCCACTTTATTGACCACTAGGCCACACCCTAGGGTGCTTATCTAAAAGATCTATGATATCTAGGAATATTGTGAACTGAGTTAAGATTAGAACATGATGGAAACAAATGATCCAAATAGACAACTCCAACTATATAGGAATAAGGATCAGTAGTTGCTGGTTTTCAACATTAGGATTAGGAATAAGAGTGAGATTTAAGAAACCTCTAGTTTTGTAGAACTACTGAACTTGACTTACAGACAAAGAAAAAGTGGTATTGAAATGAAATGTGAAATGGCCCCAATAGAGCAGAAATATAGAAGATCATCGCGAAAACCCCACTAGTTTGGGTTTTTTTTTAAATACTAGCTACGGATTGAGGCATAGTTGATTGATTGACTTCAATGAATTGATTGTTTCAATTATCAATAATCATTTAATTATATAAGTAAAAACAATTATCATAATCCAAATCATCAAGCCTTAAAAAAGTACTTGACACTGAAATAAAGTCATCAAAGGGCTTACTTGAATAGCAGGATCTTTCCAAAGAGCTTCAATATCCTGCACCAGATCCTTAGTCAGGTGAGGATAATCCAACCTGCCTCCAATTTCTGAAAGCTTCTCGCCGATATCCTGGTGCAAAGAAATACGTTATTATGTTCATGCAGCTAAGCAAGACAAGCAATCACATGTCCTCACTTTCAAGGGTTTCCCTTGGCTAAATGACTTCAAGATGATAGCCCAAATATCTGGTAATAATAAGCAAGAAAAGCAAGGAAATTGCACAATGAACGAATAAGACAAACCTTATTTTCAGCTGATAGAAGATACTTTGAGGCCTCTAATTCACTTTGAGCTAATTCCTTCGATCCATCATGTAATACCTGTCATGTCACCAAACACCCACCATGTAAGAATGTCAGTTTCCATGACATTACTAATCAACCCGCATTATAAAGCATGTGAATGATATTTCTATATATGCACGTCTCTAACAAGCAGCAGCTATTTTGCAAAAAGGGAAATAACCAACACACCCTTTCAAGTATTCCGTACTTTTATTGTCTGATAGACATTGGCATGAATGACAGGGATATAGTTCTTTAGCTCTGCCTCATCAAAGCCAGTTTGGAACAAAAGTTTTATCTGCATGGCAAAATAAATAGAGGACACTGGAGTTAAAAGAAATACATTATCATGAACATTTAGAGAATAATGAAATCGTGAAAGATTAATCATAAGATCTCTTACCTGCTTAAAAATAGTGGACTTCCCCGAATCTCCGGCACCTTGAAACAACAGAAAGATCAGCATTCAGCAAACACAGTCAAACAGGACATAGACCAGAAAATACACAACAGTAAGTTTAATCATACGGCAAAACACACAGCAGTAAGCTTCAAAAAAGTTCAAAATCTATTGCTTTCCTCAAATTTAACAGGATTAGGTGAAAGATGTCTATAGAAATCGTGAATCACAACATTGATATGGTGACATAAAAGGAAAAGCTAACAGTAAGAAATGACTAGATCATAGGACAATTGAAGACTAATTTTTCTGATTTACCAAGTAGAAGAAGTTTCTGAATATGCTTGTCCGCCTTTGTTTCTTGCTCAATACGTCTTTCTATATCTGCAGTCTGTAGACGCATGATCTAGTAAGGACACTGGTGCTTATGCATTAAGCAAGATGAAAATAGATTCTTTGCTCTCCTAGCTTAAAGACAGCACTATGGACAATTACCAAAATTCCAAATCTATTTCGCATAACTCATACCTGAGTATTTTCCTCATCATCGGCTTGATTGTAGCCTTTGTTTCTGCTGCACAACAAGCCCATGTTTTCTAATACCACACACAGCATAGGCCTGTGTGATAGTCAAGCTAGAGATCTCAAATATTTTGCAGCAACTCCTTTATGATGTCCATGTATACCTTATTTTCAGAGAAACAGACAAGAAATAAGATAATAAGGTAATTATACTGGGAAAAAGACTTTACTGCATGTCCAGTGCAGTTGAATTTAAAGAATAACCAAAATACGTCTCCGTGGTTTCATGTTTGCATCTCGATCTAATAAAAGTCCAAGTTAACAACCTTCCCCACCCCCCACACACATAAAAAACCTCTCAGAGCTAAATAAGGGAATTATACAAAAGAAATATATGAAAAGGATATGTGCGCGATTTAGAAACTAAGTTCAAAATTTCATTGTTGGAAGAACACTCAGAGAGGTTGAAACCTGCTATAGAATTGATGGTCAAATTGTGGATGAAATGTTTATGGAAAACCATCAAGAATGACAGGGTACCAACCAATTTCTAATGGTTGTGTTTCTAATACATAGGGAAAGCAATTGTTTTGAGAAGTAGTGTTTCTTCCTACAATAATAACTAATAGGTGTCAGTTAGTATCACTCACTAAGGCCCCAAAACCAACCTAGTCCCATTTATTCGCAAATGACAACGCATCATTAATCAATCAATTAACTAAGCCTCAATCCTAATTCCTAAGTTAGCTTGGATCAGCTGCATGAATCCTCTATAGTGGTTTCCGGCAAGCTTGTGCGCATCCCAACTATCCTTTATACACATTCCACTGAGTTCGAACCCGTTCATTTCAATGTTGGTAAATACATTTCATGATATTATGACTATTGAGCAGGAAATTGAACCACATATCCCCATTTAAATTTTCTAAGATTAACACTACCACTTCAAGATTTACCCCACCCACTGTAAATAAATATAAGTTACATAAGAACATAAATAAAACTAGNTATGTATATATAAACATAAATAGAGCTACCCACTTTACATTTCCACTTCATTTGCATTTAAAACAGTCAACTCAACACACCATTTACTAACATTCAATCCTAGCCCTAAAAACCTTTGGAAATTTAAACCCTCAAACAAATTAAATAAATAAATAAAAGGGCAGCAACTTTACATATATATACACAAAAGTGTATATTAAGTTAAAGATAGAGCTAAAAAATGTACTGACCTAAGAGGATCTGTTAGATGAAGCAGTGATCTGAGAGAGAGAGAGATAAAGGGAGAAGTTTGCCGGTGCTCAGAAGCAATTGCTTTGGAGAGACAAAGACAGACACAGAGACAGAGACAGAAAATATAGTGTACCTAACCATGGTCAAGGTTCCCACTTTTGACTAACAAATTAAAAATAGACTCATTCACTTTTTATTTTTTCCTTTTCTTTCTTGACTATTTATTACCCAAAAATGACATAAAATATTTATACTAAATCAATTAATACAAGCCATGCCGCATATATAGAAAAAATTTAATTTAATAATATATCTTCTTACTTTAATTTAACAACCTGAATTAAATTACTTAATTTACTATTTATAGGGATCCTGAACAAATATTGTTTCAAAATTAACTTTTTAAAATTTAATATAAATACTTATTGCTCAAAGAATATTTTCGCTACTGTTCTTGGTACCACTTGGTCAACAATTTATCAAATCCCAATACTGTACTCTTTTCATACTTATCCGTCCTAAACAATATCCAACTTTTCATTTTTCATGAGAATCTAAACATTAAATTCTTTTGAAGCAAAATTTATACTTTAATATTATATAATAGTACCCTCCAATCGAAAATAAGTAATTTTTTGGCCTTTTTTGTGGTCCAAAATAAGTGATTTTTTCAGATTTCAAGAATGAATTAATTATTTTTTTCCTACATTACCCTTGGAGTAAATAGTGTTGGAGTATGTGTTATGAGTATTTATGTTAGGGCTGGGCATATATCGGGTATAACCGATAGCCCGAACCGAAAAAAGCTTATTGGGGTATCGATATCGGGTTATTGGGTTAACAGTTCGCTAATGGTTTAATATTTTTTCATTATTGGGTTATCGGTTCGGGCCTCGGTTTGCCCAATTTCTTAACGGGTAAACCGATAACCCAATAAGAACTAGGAATATTTCAGTTGTGTTTCGACAACCGTTACTCTTGTTGCTCTTTGTCACGACCCGGATTTTCCATCCTCGGGAGTCGTGATGGCGCCTATTAATGTGAGCTAAGCAAGCCAAATATGTGAACAGTTTGCTTTTTTAACCCATCTTATATTCATTAATAATTGCGAAGAGATAACATTTAAACAACGGAATATAACATAAGCGGAAGAAAAAAAAACAATAAGCTATCTGAACTTGAATATCTAATACAACTGTTTGGATTTCGACTACACAGAACTGGTGTCATAGTTTCACAGACGGTCTAAGAATACTACAAATAGAGGTCTGAAAGAATTAAATACAATACTGTCTCTGGAAATACATGTAAGAAACAGGAAAGTAGATAGAAAGAGACGTCAAGGCCCACAAACGCCTGCAGGGCTACCTCGGGTCGCTTGATGAACAAGATTCAGCAATCTCATTGCGGTCCAAAGTCTACAACACTGGAGTCTGCACAAAAGAGTGCAGAGTGTAGTATCAGCACAACCGACCCCATGTGCTGGTAAGTGCCTAGCCTAACCTCGGCGAAGTAGTGACGAGGCTAGGACCAGACTACCAAATAAACTTGTGCAATTTAACTATATACAGCAGAAAAGAAGTACAGAATGAAACAGTCATATACAGTCAAGCATGGGAGGGGGAAAGCATGCTGCGGGGAAAACATCGAATAGTAATAGAAGAGAAACAAATAAGTATGATGATCGCCACAATTCAATTGAAAATAGGAAGGGGAAATCATGTTGCGGGGTACAACAAGTATCAACAGGAAACCAGCAATTCAGTGTAGAGAAACTGTAACACAGTTATCAATAAAAAAATTAGGAGATCAAAGACAAGTGCGCGTCATCACCCTTCGTGCTTTTACTCTCTCTTATCAAAACAATACACGGCATCACCTTCCGTGCTTTAACACTCTCTTTCCAAAATAATACACGGCATCACCATTCGTGTTTTATGCTCTTCCTCACCCAAACAACAATCATAAGGCAAATAGGGTAAGGGAATCTATAATATCGAAACAAAATCAAGTAACAATAGAAAATTAGTAAATAAACGTAAAGGACAACATAACTCAATCATCAGTAAGAATCAGGTAAATCAAAGACAAGTGCACGGCATCACCCTTCGTGTTTTTACTCTCGTCCTTACCATAAGAATCAATATAAATTGCACGGCATCACCCTTCGTGCTTTTACTCTCATCCTCACCATGAAATTAATATAATAGGCACGGAATGGTACATCGTGTGGCACGACATCACCCTTCGTGCTTTACACTCTTTCCTCACAAAGCAAACAATGCACGACATCACCCTTCGTGCTTTAACTCTCTTCCTCACCCCAACAATAATCACAAACAATAGGGCAAGGAAATAAGGGAAATTTGCAATAAGAATCCCGACAAGGGAGCAACAAGTCAACAATTAAATCCCGGCAAGGGAACAACATCAATAATATCCATATCCCGGCAAGGGAGATAACAAATAAATCAACAATAGCCCGGCAAGGGTGACAACATAATGATCTTTTCTCTTTCTCACTTTTACTTCACAACTCTAGCCAATGCTCTAGAGATTCAATTATCACTTATACCTTCACAACTCATTTCACAACTCGAGTCAATGCTCTAAAAGTTCAATTGTCACTTACACTTTCACAATTCGTTATACAACTTGAGCCAACGCTCCTCAATGATCACGGTTCACAATTCTTTCCACAAACTTTATACAACAATTAGAAATCTTCACCAAGGCATGAATAATACAACGAAATCATGAAAATCACAATATAAGACTCACGATCATGCTTGACACCAACGTATAGATACTCGTCACCATGCCTATACGTCGTACTCAATAATTACCACATAGCAAATAGGACTCGACTCCTAAGTCCTCAAGCTAAGGTTAGACCAAACACTTACCTCAATGCCATGAACACAATTCACAATTTAATTATAGCTTTACCCCTCGATTCCACCACAAATTCGCTCATATCTAGTCACAAGTTACTTAATTACATCAATAAACGCCAAATGAATCAATTTGAATGCATGAAAATGAGTTTTCTAAAGTTTTACCCAAAAAGTCAAAAAATCGCCCCCGGGCCCATATGGTCAAAACCCGAGGTTCGAACCAAAACCCGATTACTCATTCCCCCACGAACCCAAATATATATTTTGTTTTGAAATCGGACCTCAAATCGAGGTCCAAATCCCCAATTTTTTGAAAAACCTAGGTTCTACCCAAAACTCCCAATTTCCCCCATGAAAATCATTGATTTGGAGTTGAAATCATGTTAAAAGATGTTAATGATTGAAGGAAATGAGTTAAAATTAACTTACAATCGATTTGGAAGAAGAGTTGTTCTTGGAAAATCGCCCAAAGGAGTTTGTGTTTTGAAAGATGTGAAAAATGAGTTTAAATGGTCTAAGTATAAAGTTGCAGGTCGCAGGTATGAGAATTACGAACAGGGGTTCGCAATTGCGAACCCCGACCTCTGCCAAGTTGGGAAATGTGAAACAGGATTCGCATTTGCGAACCCTTTAGGAAAGCTCGACTTTCGCATTTGCGATCAACCTGTCGCATTTGCGACATGGGAATTATGACCACAACATTGCATTTGCGATCACCGGCCAAATGGCAAACTTCGCAATTGCGAAGATAATCTCGCATTTGCAAGAGGGAGCTAGCCTGGGCTTTCTTCGTAATTACGACAAGCGGCTCGCATTTGCGAGCCAGGCTTCGCAAATGCGAAGCCTGCAGGCCTGCTATGCACAACTGAAAACCTGCAATTTTCTAAGTTAAAAATGCACCTCGTGGCCTATCCAAAACTCACCCGAGTCCTCGGGGCTCCAAACCATATATACACACAACTTCAAAAACATCCTACGAACTTATTCGTGTAATAAAATCACCAAAATAACCTCAATAATAATGAATTAAACCTCAAAGTCATAGACCTTTCTCAAACTTCTTAAAACATCAACTTTAGCAATTTAGGTCCGAATCGCGTCAAATGACATCCGTTTTTCACCAAATTTTACAGAAATGTCTTAAATCATATATAAGACCTGTACCGAGCGCCAGAACCAAAATACGGGCCCGATACCATCATGTTCTAATCAAATTTCATTTCAAATTTCTTTAAACAATTTCAGAAAATAATTTTCTTTGAAAATTCATTTCTCGGGCTTGGGACCTCAGAATTCAATTTCGGGCATATGCCCAAGTCCCATATTTTCCTACGGACCCTCCGGGACCATCAAATCACGTGTTCGGGTCCGTTTACCCAAAATATTGACCGAAATCAAATTAGCTCACTTTACAGTCAAAATTTATCATTTTTCACAGATTTTTACATCTAGACTTTCCGGCTATGCCCTCGGACTGCGCACGCAAATCTAGGTGATGCTAAAAGAGGTTTTTAAGGCCTCAGAACATAGAATTTCATTTTAAAACAAAGGTCATCACTTTCTCCACCTCTAAAACAACCGTTCGTCCTTGAACGGACAGAAGAAGGAAGTACCTAAGTCGAGGAAAAGATGGGGATAAAGGCTCTGCATATTGGACTCGAACTCCCAGGTCGATGCCTTAGGAGGCTGACCTCTCCACTAAACACGAACAGAAGGAAAACTCT